GCATTCCAATGCTCATCACTGTCGCAACAAGAAGCTGCTGGACTGTGTCAAGGCTTTCGACAGGCACTGCAACATGGTGCTGGAGAATGTGAAAGAGATGTGGACTGAAGTCCCCAAGAGTGGCAAGGGCAAGAAGAAGCCCAAGCCTGTCAACAAGGACTGCTACATCTCCAAGATGTGCCTACGTGGGGACTCTGTCATAGTGGTCCCGTGGAACCCACTCATCACCAGCAAGTAGGGGCCCAAAGCCACCTCCCACCACCCCGTGAAGACCTGCCCTGTGTTGGGAATAATAAAGTTCCTATGTTTTTTTTACTTAAAATTTTAAAAAAAGGCAGTCTGATTGGCTACTACAAGAATAAGCAAGTTGTTCGCTGGGAGCCATTAAGGAAAGCAATCAAGTTCCTTCAGGACAAACCCCCTTCCAAGACTGAAACTCAAAGGGAACATACATGAGCAGGCACATAAGATTTCTGGTGACCACATGGTCAGCTGGTTCGTGGAAGAGGGAGAAAGGCAGCAATGAAGATATGGGCTGAGTTTGACCGCGTTTCATAGACTCTAGTCGACCTGGAGATGAGAAAAAGAGGAAAGGCTGGTTGGTATGAAGCATGGTGAGACCTGGGGACTCCTGAGCTCACAGACAAGGACATAGCCATGGAGGGCTAGAGCTGAGAGTGAAGTGTCCAGCTGCTATTATTAAGTGAGGGAAGACATACAAGAATGCCCAAACTTGTAGATAGTACTCATTCGACCTAGCCTTGATGGTTTAATGATCAGCACTCAACTGAAAGAAGATTAAAAAAAATTTTTTTTTTTTGATAAAGGAAACAAGTGTAAATTGTTACAATTTGATGAACTTAACCTATACTTATGGATGTGGTGGTGGTTATGTGCTGTGGAGTCAGTTCCGACTCATAGTGACTCTGTACAGGGTTTCTGAGTCCTGTAAATCTTTACGGGAACAAAAAGCCTCATCTTTCTCCTGTGGAACAGCTGGTAGTTTCAAACTGCTGACCCTGAGGTTAGCAGCCCAATTTGTAACCACTACGCTACCAGAGCTCTTTACTTATGGATGAAGTAGCTCAAAATACCAACTGAGAGGGAAGGAGTCTTCACCTGAAATATCAGTCCTATCCCTTCTCTATAGAGGGTTGATCTGGACGGGCAAATTAGACATTGGCTACCTAAAATGAGGGTGGCTATACAGGCACAAAGTGAGTGGTTTACAAGTTTTCAAGAGGGAGTTTAGTTTCAGAGTGTGTGTGTGGGGAGGGCGGGGGGAAGGTAGAATTCCCACTGAATAGTTTTCATCTTGTCTAGACGGGTATGGTGAAAAGAGATGGGCATAAGAGTCTTATGATTCAGTAGTGAATAATTGTTTCATGACTAATTGTGACTGTTACAACTGTAAGGTTAGAAGTTTTGTAACAAAAAAGGGGGGGGGGGAGTAGTTAATCTTACAGTCCAGGAACAGAGGATCCTAGGACCATCAAGGGAGAAGAGCACAAGCAGAATGTGGGACCCTCTCCAGAGATGGAGGCAGAAATAATGACATGGAAGAATAGAGCAGCTGAGAACTCTAGACTCATGGAAAGAGAAAGGCTGTGTGCTGGCAGCCAGGAGGCAGGCTTGCAGAATGTGCCCTTTGGTGGTTTAAATTATTATATATTCCTGAGTGTTTTTGTGTACATCTTTGCCCGCCCCCAAAAAAAAAAACAAAAACAGAGGGAATAAAAGCAAATTCTGTTGAATGATGATGCATGGAGGAGATTGCAATGAAATGATGAGTGTAAAACCGATGTTCTCCCATGTAAACTATCACAATTAAACAAATAGACAAACAAACAAACAAAAACAAAAATCCTAATGCCAGTGTTGAAAAAAATATATATCTTATTCATGTTCAACATCTATTGAGAGGAACAGAAAGAGAAGTCATTGTAGACCTTCTTTATCTGGTGATCAGGAAAAAAAAAAAGACAAGATCACGGTCACCCAAAACCAAGGTGACTGATGAAAACACTAAACAACCCTGAGCTCTGGGCCAACCACTATGGAATGCCACTACTTACTTTACCCAGGCACCACAGGGCATCATCTCATTCTGGTTCCCATTCAAGTTCAAAAAAGAAATAATGTATTAAATTTTACATCTAAAAAAAATAGTACAATGCCTGAAGTATATTTTTAAAGAAGTTGATGGATTACTTGGTCAGAAGTGCTAAATCTGCTAGTAGAGGTGCATATCTTTCATTGCTTCTCAGAGCAATTGTTCTTGTTGTGAAGTGCTGTCAAGTCGGTTTTGATTCATAGCAACCCTGTATAGGATTTCTGAAGAGTGGCTGGTGGATTTGAATCGCTGACCTTGTGGTTCAAACAGACCTTGCATTCCACACCAGAACAATACAGTTGTGTTTATTTGTGAAATTAACAGTGTATAGTAGTGGTTACGAATCGGGCTGCGAACCTTAAGGTCAGCGGTTCGAAACTACCAGCCGCTCCGCGGGAGAAAGATGAGGCTTTCTACTCCCGTAAAGATTTACACCCTCGGAAACCCTGTACAGGGTCGCTATGGGTCGGAACCGACTCAACGGCACTTAACAGCAGCAGCAGCATCTGAGGCTACAATGTCCCCAAATAGATGCTACATTTAGTCATTATTTAAAACCATTTGCTTTATTTAAAACCATCTGAGCTAAAACACAGTACTTTGTTTCCTAATTCAAACTGTTGGAGTTTCAAATATGTCAGGTCTGTTCACTAAGACAGAATTATTAGGCTTGCCTGAAATTTGGGCGTGGAAGCAAGGAATATTAAACTAGTTGGCAACAGGCTGTTGATTTTAATATAGAAAAGAACTTAACCTGCTCATGTTATGTCTAAGTGACTCTCTTAGAAAACTTTAAATTGCAAAAGAGTCAGCAAGAAACATTTTTATTTTGAAATTCTCTATGTTAAGATTCCTTAGAATCATAGTCTTTCTTTTATTCACATTTTGCACTACCATATTTAATGTCAAAGTATCTTGTGAATTGTAGGAGAAAGGTATTACTAATTTCTTTCTTACTGACATATAATCTTCACCATAAAAGAAATTCAGTGTAACTATTTATCTCTTCTCTATGAATATTATTGGCTGATGAGGGGAGAATCTTACTTGAAATGTTTATCAATTTTAACAAGTTTTGTGTGGTGTTGTTAAGAGCCGTTCAGTGTCCTTTAAAAATCTAGTTGTCACATGTGATGGGGCTAACAAGACTAAATCATAGTTCTTAATGAAGAGCAAATAAAAGAAAATTGAAATGTATTTCTCTTTGGTTGAAAGGCTAACAGAGACATTGTGAATTTAAATGAACATTTGCCTGGAGATGTTTAACTGTAAACACCACTCCATAAAACTTTCGTCTGAAGTACAAATGAATGCTTGTTTCTACATGATGTAAGCAGAAATCATTATTCTCAATCACTGCCTTAAAATGCTTTCAGAGTTTGTTTTGTTTCTGAAAATTAAAATTTGGTTACTTTGAGCTAAAAAAAAAAAAAAAGAAAGAATACAGTCTTCTGTATGGATTACAACTCAGTGTAAGGGAAACAAAAATCCTTAGAATTGGACCAATAAATAATATTGTGGTAAACAGAGGAAAGATAGAAGTTGTCAAGCATTCATTTTACTTGAATTCACTGCTTATTAAAGCAATAGTCAAGAAATCAAACAACATATTGCACTGGGTGAATCTGCTGCACAAGATGTCTTTAAATTGTTTAAGAGCAAAGATGTCAATTTGAAGACTTAGGTGTACCTGACCCAAGCAAGCCATGGTATTTTCAGCCATCTCTTATGCATGTGAAAGCTGGAGGATGAATAAGGAAAACCAAAGAAGAATTGATGCATTTGAATTATGGTGTGGGTTAAAAATATTAAAAGTACCATGGACTGCCAGAGGAACAAACAAATCTGCTTCAGACGTACAGCAGAATGCTCCTCAGAAGTCAGGATGGTGAGAGTACTTTGGACATGTTCTCAGGAGGGACCTGTCCCTAGAAAGGGATATTATGTTAGGTAGAGGGTGATCCTGAGTGGCTGCAATTTAGGCTCAAAGATAAGGATTGTGAGGATGGCCCAAGACCAGGAGTGTTGCTTTCTGTTGTGCATAGGGTCGCTATGAGTCGGAACCCACTTAACAGCACCTAACAACAAAACGTAAGGCTGTTTAATTTTTTTCATCTAATATTTGAAGGGAAGCAGATTATAAGTATAATCTCATTCAATTCTCGAGAGAAAGGCATTATTAATTTCATCAGTAGTATTGACAATGTATGTGAAGCTATTTTGTAACGTATCTGGCTGCTAGTGAGTTACAGGACTACCTACTTCACCTGGCTGTTGTGAGAATTAAATGACACCCAAGAAGGCGCTTAACAGAAGATCAAGCGCGGTATCCACGTGACATGCTACTAATTACACGCCCCACAACACCTGATCCACTGTGAGGACTGGGTAAATGCTGCTTGTACTGAACGATTTTGTTTTGCCTTTTTCTTAGTCTTCCAATGCTAAACTAATCTCGGCGGGGCCTGTGACCAAAACCACAAATCTGAGAGCCTCATCCGGACCGGGGCGTGTGCGGAGTCCCTGGAGGGCGCACAACAACAACAAGTTTTTCCAGCACCCAGCACAGGTGACAAGGCTTGGGACGCCGATTTCGGCAGTGGCTGGCTGGAGCATCCCCGCAGATCTCCCCAGTCTGGGGCTGCACTGAGAGATCTTTTGGTCCCGCCAGGATTTTCTGGGTCGGAGACCGACCCTAGCCCTCACCACCCCAGCTCTAGTCTTCACGGACTTTGTCAAGCCCCGCCCACCACCTCAGGTAGGCCATCAGCTCTAGCCAATTCTCAAGTAGCCTGGGTGCGGAAGGAGGGGCTTCCCAGGCCGGAAGTGACGTATGGTGGTTGGCTGGCTGCGAAGTCGACCGAAGCTCTCGGCGACTGCTGGGGCTGCTGAGGAGAAAATGGCTCGGACCTTGGCGGCTGTGGCGGTTCGGGTTGTGGTGGAGGCACAGGCTCAGGCAGCTTGAGGTGAGGAGCAGTCGGTGCACCTAAGACCTCGCTTTGCCAGAGCGGACAGAGATCCGTAAGGGAGGGTCCTTTGCCGCGGCCCCCTGCTCCTCGGATGCCGGTCTCTGACCCCTCCATCCTGTACTCTTGGCGCTGGTTCAGCGGGACTCAAGTCTCTCCGTCCTGCTTCCACCTAGACCGTTGCCCGTAGCCCTGTGGACTGTGCGAGGGGCCCGCGCCCCCGCCCCCGCCAGGCCCTTCCTCTCGGGAGCGAGAGTGCTCGGGGGAGTTGGTTTTGTCCAGACGGGGGAGGGGAGGCCACCCCGTTGTCCCTCGGGACGGACGGGCTGGAGCCGGCCCTGTTCTCTTGTCAAGTTGTTGATTCTGGCGAATGTGTAAGTTGCTTCTCAGTTCTGGCCCTTTCTCTGGCCTCCTGCCCCATCTCCGACTTTCGGGGGGGGCTAATGATCCATTTTTCTTTCCTTTCCACTTGCTGCGAATCCACTTGCTTTGGGAAGGCAGAATTATTTCATCTTTCTGAGAGGACGGTCAGATCAAAAATATTAGCTTCACTCTTCCTGAGCGATGCAGGAACAATAAAAATGGAAGAGAGGAAAAAAAGCACATACTTTTTTTTTTTTTTGAACTAAATGGCTTGGCTTTAAGAACGAGATTTTCCAGCTGTGGAACTGTTTTTCGGGGAGAGCAGGGATTGAGGAGGGAAATGAGGGAAGAGAAAACCGAGGAGGAAAGTCTGGAGTCTTCGAAGAGAGAGCCTGTGGTTGTTTTCCCGTCATTATTGTTGTTGTTAAGTGCCGACTCACAGCCATCCTGTAGAGGGTTTCCGAGGCTTTAAATCTTTTTGCAGGAGCAGAAAGCCTCATCTTTCTCCCATGGAGTGGTTGGTGGGCTCAAACCGCAGACCTTGTGATTCACGGTCCAGTGCTTATCATATGGGACCACTGCACTCTTCCCCAGACTTGTTAAAGTGCCATGGAGTTGATTCCGACTCATAGCGACCCTCTGTAGGGTTTCCGAGGAGCAGCTTGGAGGGTTTGAACTGCCAACCTTGTAGTTTACAAGCCAGTGCTGAACGTACAGCGCCACACCAGGACCCCATCTATTAAAGAATCAACTGAAGAGATTTTTAGGTGGGTGTCAGGTAGGAAAATGCTGTTGAGAAATTTGTTTAATAAATTATAGTCTCAAAGCCACAGATTAGAAGGGATGAAGGAAAAAGAAAGGCACAGCCTTCCCCTGTTATTCGAAAGTAGAGCGTAAATGAAGCCAAAACGATGTAAAATAAAAAGTCAATTAATTTAAATGGGAAAGATTTTTGAGTGTTCTCAGATCCTCCCCTCCCCCCAAAAAAAAAAGCCCTACCAGATCATGACAACTATCCCATAAAACCTGAAATAACACTAACGGGTTTCACAGACCCAGATCAAAGCTATGGCAGCTTGATGCTGACGGGCGCTCAGTGAAGTTCCCAGCTTGGCAACGCCACTGAGATCTGCTGGGTGTGCTGTCTCTTTAACAGCTTGCTGCAAAACAGTCACTCTTCCCGTTTTGTAAAAGGAAAATCCTCTTCAGATTTCTTTCCCTTAGGGAAAACAGGTACTAATGTAAATCTTTTTGTAAAAGCAAAGTGACATAGAGTGAACTTTCAAAAAGTGGGAGATAACATGTATTCTTAGAGGTGTGCTGAAGACATAGTACAAGGAAGCTGTGACTCCCCAAGAGACTTTGTACCTTTGCTTCCTTATCTTGCGGCTCACGCATCTGGTGCTCATACAGAAATTTGTTCACCACAGCACATTAAACGGAAATGTTAAGGTTTGTAAACTTCTGAAGATGTCTGTTTTCAAGACAGTCTTTTACATGACAATGGAGCGGTTTATCTGTTAATTCAAACTTAATGTTTTTATATAGGTACAAAGAACTTTACTTCTTTCATAAGTAATTTTGGCAAGATTTATTTATCGAAAGCAAACTTTTTTCTTTTGAAAAGTCTGTTATTTGTGTTTTGTATTCACATTGTTTGCAGTTTTATTTTAAGCAGTATATTTTAGTGTTTTTAATCAACTGATTTCACAGCTTTTTCTCTGTTTTATGGATTATAAAAGTTGATCTTATGAATTTTAGAAACTTACAACTTTCTGCAATTAGCTGTATTCTCAATATGATTCTTTTTTCCTTCCTTCTGCCATGAATAGTTTAAAACTTTTCAGTTAGTTCATGATTACTTTATCAGTTTTCTTGCTAAGATACTTTCTGTGATATAGCACAGAATGTTTTGCACTTAGTAAGCACATTCAGTAAGTGAACTTATTCTAAAGCTCTTGAATTTCCCAAGAGCTCAAAGTTCTGTGTTCTTCTTATCAGGGTATCAGACCAAACTTTTCAGAGCATCAGTAGTATAGAACATTTCTTTTTAAAAAATGTTTTGTAACTTTTCTTGTTTTGCTAACCTAAGTTATATATTTTATTGCATTTGCCATGTTACCCAGATAATTTCAGGTCAAGCAAATGATAAAAGGAGAATATTTTTGTGTAGTGCATTCACATAGTTGGTTGTTGTGTGCCACTGAGTCAGTTCCAACTAAAAGCAACTCTGTATAGGGTTTCTGGGGTTGTAAATCTTTAAGGGAACTGAAAGCCTCATCTTTCTCCCAAGGAGCAGCTGGTCGATTTGAACTGCTGGCCTTCCAGTTAATAGCCCAGTTCGTAATCCAGTACACTGCCCTGGCTTCCTTATTCACATAGTAGGTGATTTGATTTAAATGTGCCCTTTTATAGTGCTAGTAAATACCTTAAAATGTCTTAACCCTCCAAAAGATCTTATAGCTCCATGTTGCATGCATTTTTTTTTTCTTAGTTCTTTTAATTCAACAGATTTTTATTATTGCCTTCAAGGATGCCTGGTACTGCAAGGGTTCCAAGGATAGGAAAATGAGTGAGACAGTGGTGGTCCTCAAGACATTTGCTAATCTATGGAAGAGACAATCACATAAATTACAGTAGTATGGCTATTAGCACAGCATTGACTCCAAAGTACTGAAAAGGGTCTGATCATTTGGGCAGGGAGAGAGAGAAGATGGTTGAGTCTTTATGTGGAAAGTGTTGCTTGAATTGAGTCTTAAAGGATGAATTCATTATATTAATGAGGGCAAGATAAAGGCAAATAGGTTCTAGACTCTGCTTTAGAGTCTAGCAGTGAGAGATTAAGCAAGTTGCTTAATACCTGTAGTATCTATTTCTTTATTTGAGATTTGCCTACATCTGAAGCATTTCTGTCCAATAGAAATACTACGTGAACCACAAATAAGAGTCACATATGTACTAAGTCTTTGAATCTGGTATGTACTTTATAATGTATCTCACTTCAGACTAACCACATTTTAAGTACTCAATGGCTATGTGTGGCCAGTGGTGACCATATTGAACAGTGTAAATCTAGAGCATGAACATTCTGCTATTCTATCCTGAGTTCTTGCTTGAAAAGGAAAAACAACTCCTATGAGAAATGTGGAGTTCAGGTATGGCGCTGTAGGATCAGCACTTGGCTGCTAACCACAAGGTTGGTGGTTCAAACCCACCAGCTGCTCCTTGGACACACTATACAGGGTCGCTATGAGTCAAAACTGATTCAAAGACACTTAACAACAACAACAATGAAAAAAATGTGTTAGTAATATATACCTTCTAATCATTAGCGTAGTGGTTACAAGTTGGGCTGCCAATTGCAAGGTCAGCAGTTCGAAACTACCAGCTGTTCCGCGGGAGAAATATGAGGCATTCTGCTTCCGTAAAGGTTTACAGCCTTGGAAATCCTGTGCAGGGTCACTATGAGTCAGAACTGACTCCACGGTACTTAACAATATAACAAAATAAAAATCATTTTGTTAGGAGTCCTGGTGCAGCACTGTAAGATAAAGCACTGGACTGCTAACTGCAAGGTCAGTGGTTCAAACCCACCAGCTGCTCATTGGAAACCCCTGGGTCGCTATAAGTCGGAATCAACTTGACATCTAACAACAGCAACAGTCTACTTCCAGAGGTTCAAATCAGATTCAGAAGAGGCCGTGGAATGAGAGATATCATTGCTGATGTCTGATGGATCTTGGCTGAAAGCAGAGAATATCAGAAAGATGTTTACTTGTGCTTTATTGACTATGCAAAGGCTTTCAATTGTGTGGATCATGACAAGCTATGGACAACATTGTGAAGTATGAGTATTCCGGAACACTTTTGTGCTCATGAGGAATCTGTACCTGGACCAAGAAGCAGTTGTTTGACTAGAACATGGGAACACTGAATGGTTTAAAATTAAGAAAGGTGTGCGACAAGGTTGTATTCTTTCATCATATTTATTCAACCTGTATGCTGAGCAAATAATCCAAGAAGCTGGGTTCTATGAAGAAAAACGTGGCATCAGGAAGACTCATCAACAACCTGCAATATGCAGATGATACAGCCTTGCTTGCTGAAAGTGAAGAGGACTTAAAACATTTACTGATGCAGATCAAAGAGCACAGCCTTTGGTACGGATTGCATCTCAATGTAAAGAAAACAAAAATCCTCACCACTGGACCAATAAACAACATTCATATCAATGGAGAAAAGATTGAAGTTTTAAGAGTTTGGATCAACTATCAACACTCATGGAAGCAGCAGTCAAGAAATCAAATGACATATATTGCATTAGGCAAATCTGCAGCACAAGACCTTTTTAAAGTGTTGAAGAGCAAACATGTCAGCTTGAGGACTAAGGTGTGCCTGACCCAAGCCATGGTATTTTCAATAACCTCACATGGATGCAAAAGCTGGACATTGAATAAGGAAGACCGTAGAAGAATTGATGCTTTTGAGTTATGGTGTTGGAGGAGACTATTGAAAGTGCCAAAAGAACCAATATATCCGTTTTGGAAAAAGTGCAGCCAGAGTGCTTCTTGGAGGCCAAGATGGCCAAACTTCGTCTCTGATACTTCGGACATATTATCAGGAGGGACCAGTGGCTA